ATATATATATATATATATACACACACATATATATAAACATATATATACACATATATATAAACATATATACACACATATATATAAACATATATACACACATATATATAAAGTGGATGTCATGTACAACCCAGAGCTTTGGCCTGAGGGAACTATTGTGCGGAGGTTTTATGAGCCACGCAAAACAATCATCGGTGCAGACGCTACTCTTTCTTCTACGGATATATGCGCTTCTATCGCTGGCGTGAGCACAAAACCATAAATTCTATGGACATTAAAGTCATATCCTACAACTGTCGTGGCCTGCGCTTAGGACAGAGCGCAGATGATAAAGCTCGCCGTTTGGTTGTTGACCAGTTGCTGCTGCACTGTGACATCTTGTGCTTGCAAGAAACTTTTCTGGCCAAACAGGATTTAAAAGGACTAAACTCTATTAATGACACTTTCCTGGGTGCTGGAGAATCTTCTACAGACCTGAGTTTGGGTATTAAAAGAGGAAGGATACCTGGAGGAGTGGCTATTTTATGGAAAAAGAGCCTGGACCCACTGATAAATGTCGTTAGACTTGGTGTAGACTGGTGTATTGCAGTACACGTGAAGCAGCGTGAACAAGAATGCTTTATTTTAAATGTCTATGCTCCACATGAATGTCATCACAATGAAGAAGAATTCCTAAGTAAACTTGCTTTTATTAGCTCTTTTATGCAAAACGAGAAGGTAAAAAGTATTTATGTTATGGGTGACATGAATGCTGACATATCAGATACTAATTCGCTGTTTTCAAGGCATTTGAATAATTTTTGTACGGATTCAAATCTAATTTTGTCTAGCAAAGAACTTTTGCCAGCTGCAAGTTATACGTACATAAGTGAATCCTGGCATACTACGTCTTGGTTGGATCATTGTATTACTACAGCAGATGCTCATGCTGCTCTGGTATATATTAATATCTTATACAATGTCTCCACTACTGATCATATCCCTTTTGAGATGTCTATTAGATTTGATCATATACCCGCTACTGTATATGGAAACAGCAATCATATTCAGACACGTATAGATTGGTCTTCTTTATCTACTGAACAAATAGCCCGGTACTTTAACCAAACTGATCGATTCTTAGGCGCCATTACAATACCAAGAGAGGCAGTTGCATGCATGGACTGTAACTGCTCTGATTTTGAACATAAAACCAATATAACTGCTTTTTACTCTCAATTAACGGAAGCGCTATTGGGAGCTAGCCTGCCTCTTAACAAGAGTACAAGAAAGATAAAAAATAGACCTGGTTGGAACACTCATGTATCTAAATACCATGATGAAGCCTGTAAAGCTACTTCCTCTTGGGCTCTAGCAGGTAAACCCAGGCAGGGCCCTATATTTGAACACAAAAAGCTGTCTAATGCAAAATACAAATATGCACTACGCTTCATTAAACGTAATGAGCAAACCATGAGGGCTGATTCCTTGGCAAGAAAGCTTATAGGTAAAGACAATAAAGCGTTTTGGAAAGAGGTCAAAACCATCAGCAATGGTAAATCTTGTCTACCTTGTACTGTTGATGGAGCCTCAGGATCGAATACAATTGTACATTTTTGGCAACACCACTATAGCAAACTATTCACCTGTGTACAGAGCGAACCCTTCCAGGATGTCCAGGTTAATAATGTAGAAACTATCAAAACACATGAGGTCTATCAGGCAATTCAAGAACTGTCTGTAAATAAATCTGTAGGAACGGATCTTATTTCAGCTGAACATCTTAAGCATGCAAGTCCAAGGTTAGCCCCTCTCCTTGCTTTGTGTTTCACTGGTTTTATTATGCATGGTTTTATTCCCAGTATCTTGATGAATGTCATTCTATCTCCTGTGATTAAAAACAAAACTGGAAAAATTGGCAGCTCGGATAATTATAGACCTATTGCACTAGCAAATACTCTGTCTAAAGTCTTCGAACTAATTCTTTTGCCAAAATTTGCTAAACAAGTAGAGTCTACAGACAATCAATTTGGGTTCAAGTCCAAGCATGGTACTGATCTGTGTATTTATGGCCTAAAAGAATTACTGAACAGTTACAATATTAAAAATTCTACAATTTTTTTGTGCTTCTTAGATGCCACTAAGGCTTTTGATCGTATAAATCATAGTAAATTATTTTTAAAATTGTGCCAAGCCGGTGTGCCTAAGTACATAGTAAGATGTCTGTCCTATTGGTATGCTAACCAAACAATGCAGGTCAAATGGGACAACTGTGTGTCTGCACCCTTCCATGTTAGAAATGGAGTCAGACAAGGAAGTATTTTATCACCTATATTGTTTAATTTTTATATGAATGATCTCTCTAAGCGGTTAAACATGTGTAGAACAGGCTGCATGGTTGGTGATACAATTATTAATCATTTTATGTATGCTGACGATATAGTGGTTTTTAGCCCGAGCTCAGCGGGTCTACAGCAGCTGCTAAATGTGTGTTCTGCATATGGTGAGCAATATGACGTCCAGTTCAATCCATTAAAAAGTACAATTCTAATTTGCCGCACTAAAGAGGACAAATATAGAATATTTCCAAATTTCAAATTGTCTGGGTCTCTACTGAATGCTTCACATGAAGTAAAATATCTTGGACATGTCTTGACAGACCATCTATCTGATGATGAGGACATGTACCGCCAGCTTCGTATGATCTATGTTCAGGCAAATATCCTTGTGCGTAGGTTTGGATTCTGTTCTGATGAAGTGAAACTGAACCTGTTCAGATCGTATTGTACACCATTGTATACTGCCCATTTGTGGTGCAATTTTAAAAAAGCCAGTCTTCATAGATTGAAGGTCGCTTATAATGATGCTCTAAGACTATTGTTACATAAGCCTAGATGGACCAGTGCTAGTGAGCTGTTTGTATCCACCCGTGTCAACACTTTAATGGCTGTTTTAAGACAACTTATGTATAAATTTATTTGTCGTCTGAATGAGTCTAACAATAGAATTATTTTGCTGTTGACCAATGTCAAATATAGTGCAGTGAAATATTCTTCTGCACTTTGGAGACACTGGTATGACTGTCTCCTGCATGGTTAGGAACCTTTTTATCTGTATATTTTTAAATTTTTTTTTTTTTTTTTTTCTGTATTTATCTGTGATGTTGGTTGGACTTTGAGTCTGTAATAAAGTAATATATATATATATATATATATATATATATAAACATATATACACATATATATAAACATATATACACATATATATAAACATATATACACATATATACTCATATATACACATGTATATACACATATATACACATGTATATACACATATATACACATGTATATACACATATATACACATGTATATACACATATATACACATGTATATACACATATATATACATATATATATATATATATTTACATATCAATCAACCTTTATTTATACAGGTAAATCCCATTGAGCCTCGAGGACTCATTTACAAGAGAGACCTGATTTAACAAAGAAAGATGACAACAATGGACAACAGCAACAACAATAAACAATTATAAAAAGTAATACTGCAGGGTTTTTTGGGGTTTTTTTTACAAAAAGGATGGCTAAAAGGAAAAGGTAACAACAACAAAAAAAAAACAGCTAGATTCTAAGGCGAATGTAGAAAACTAAAAACAGGAACATGTATACTATACATATATATATACAGTGGGGAGAACAAGTATTTGATACACTGTTGATTTTTCAGGTTTTCCCACTTGCAAAGCTTGTAGATGACTGTAATTTTTATCATAGGTACTCTTGAGTGAGTGATGGAATCTAAAACAAAAATCCAGAAAAATACAATGTATGATTTTTAAATAATTAATTTCCATACACTCTCTGCTCTTTGATTTGAGAAAGCTCCTCGGATGAGGAGCGAAACGTCTTCTGTTACAAATAAAGTCCAGTTGTTTTTGTATTGAACGCTTTTTGAATCCACCTAGAAAGGCTCCGACTGAGAGTTGTACCGGCAACCTTCCCGCCAGAGGCAACAGCTCCAACAACTGAGCCATTGTTAAGAAACACACAATTTATTTTGTGTTTTGTGAGTTTTATTGTAACTTATTCTACAATTCAGTGTTTCTGTGCACTACACTCTGTGTTAAAGGATCCCCAGTGCCCACCTGCTGGGCCACATACCTTGGTCAGTTTTGGTAGCGGGCTTCCAGTTCTCTGCACTGATAACAGGCAGACACACCTGACCCTTCTCATCAATGTTGGGGTGGTAGATCTTTGTCTTGAAGGTGATTTTGGGAGGCTTGAACGGGTACTCAGTGGGGAAAATGATTTCAATCCTGAACGCACCTTTGTCATATGGGGGGTTGTCCTGAAAGTCAACAAGAAGGTCAGAGGTTAAAAAAGACCCTGATAGACAGCTAGTAAAGAAGAAAGAAAAGTTACTCACAGGAACAATGAGACCCTGCCATGACAAAAGGTTTGATTCCTCAACTTGAATGTTTCTGAAGTTTTTCATTCCAGACCTGCGAATCTCTTCAAGTTCCTGATAAAAATGAAAATTAACAAAATGTAAGCACAATGCACAAATTTGTATTAAAAAAAATGTATCTTGCTAGAGCTGCACAGTAAAAATGAATGCACACGCACTCTCTGAGCCTCTACAATTTGATCCTTCACTTCCTCTCTGACTAACCAGTCAGTGTGTGGGAAGCAACGTCTGAGTTTTCAATATGAGCTATAGCTCCTCTGTGGTTGTTTTAAGCTTACCTGAACGTCCCCCGACAACCAAACACATTATCCAGTATGACAACAAGATGATACAACTTTTGTGGATCTGATCAATAACAACAATGACCAGACGTATGGAAGTGCAGCTCGTAGACTGGTGTGGGAAAATGACCTTGCTCTAATCCAACAATGTTCAGTCAGGTCATCTGGACAGTTTCTTTTTTTTTTTTGGATGATGACCTGACTGAAGATTATTGGATTTGGTACCTGGATGACTGAGCATGAACTTTGTTGGCCTTGCTCTGAATTATAAACGCAACAAGAGAGCTCACTGTTGACTTCAGAAAGACGCAGCACACCACTGCTCATAAACAACTCAGCGGTAGAAAGTACCAGGTTTCAGGAGTGCACATATAGGGCTGAGTACCAAACCGAGGTTCTTTTATGGCACCCACCGAACTGCACCGGTCGGTGTATGTATTGAAACGTCACTCTTTTTTCGGTTTCAAGTTTCGATATTGGCTGAAATGTGTCACGTGGTTTCAGCACGCAGGCAGGTAAAACACCAGACATATGACAAACGGACTACGTGTTTACTTCCAGAGCTGTATAGAGCTGCCGTACCTAATCTATGTATAATGTATGTCTATGGTGCTGGGGACGCCCACAGACGGGGTTCACGTGTGCAGCGTGTGTTGTCGAACAGCTCCGACAACACACGCTCAGAAAGTTGCTCCGTGTTTCTCTGCAAGAAGACAGACAGCATTAGCGTTAGTCAGTCTCTGTGTTAAACGGACTTAACATTTCACGGCCGGACTCCTCTTCATCAAAGAACTCCCGAGAACGGCTCTGTGTCTGTGTTTCAGCTGGCGAGTTCACGTTTGTTATTGTTACTGCAGCTTAACACATACATCGCGGTGAAATAACGCTAACTTTAAGATATTAGTGTGTAAATTTATTTTATCTACGTAGCTAGCTAAACTCAGAAGCTAACTAAAGATTGACAGTAACAGATAAATCTCAGCTTGTAAAAATGTGCTCATCCATCCAGTCAGCTGCTTAAACAGTTCACTAATGTTCACCGTTAATGTTCTCCTCACAGGAGGTTCTGACCCAGATGTGAGGACAAAGACTGACAAAAGAAAAGTGAGGTGGAGGCCACAGGACAATCACAGACTTTGTTGTTAAAAGTTTTCTGCTTTTTCTACAGTGGAGGCTGCATGGTGGAGGTAAGTTAACTTGGAAATTATTTGTTTATTTTTATGTAAGAAAACTGCTTGGAATAGAAATACCAAAGTTAAAAAATAAAATTCACAATTTGTACTGTAATGTGTAACATAATTTTATTCTTGTTAGAATTAATATTAATTACAAAATTGGTACCGAAAAAAGAACCGTCCAGGAACCGACACCGAAGTGAATGTACAGACACCGGTACCGATTTTTTAAGAAAGGTACCTAGCCCTATGCACATAACAGACCACTGTAATGGTCAAAGAACATTACTAAACTAGAGGAACATCTGCACTTCTTTCACTGGATAAGGTGTGCCCAACTCCACTCTCGTCCTTACCATCAGATACAGGGGGACCACTGAGAGCATCACAACCAGTCTCTCTCTGGGGTTCAGCTGCAGACTGGAAGGACGTGAGGATGCTGGTGAGAACAGCAGAGAAGGTCCAAAAGACTTCTCTTCCCTCCATCCAAGACATTGATTTAACCCCCCCCTCCCCCAACATTAATGGCTTACTCTGCTGGCCTCTGGTACAGAAGCCTGAGGACCAGAACCACTAGGTCCTGCACCAGTTTCAATGAACAGCCATTTCATTATTGAAATAATCGATTTTAAAGTGCGTAAGGGTGCACCGATAAATTCCTTAAATTTCCTTTATTTTGGGAAATCGGACGATACTTGCATGAGAAACCGATTTTTTTGGTTTTAATAACAATTGTCTGAATTTCATTTATATTTCAGAGCACTACCTCATGACCAGTTCAACCAGTTTGTATTGTTTCTAGGATACTGTTCAAGGGTCTGTGTTTCAACAAAACAATTTTGGAAAATTGAAGGTACATCGTGACCGTATAACACCCGACAGTGTCGCTTATAAAACTGAATCGGTGATCAGCCAGAAAACTGCAATTGGTGCACCCCTAGTTTTAAGTTTTTTGTTTTTTTTTCCTGTTCCGTGTCCACCCGTCACCGTAAAATTTGGCCTTGTAGGCCACCGTACAGCAAGATAGTTAGCTAGCTCCCTTTATCAGAATGGAGTCCGTTAGCATGGAGCGGGAGGACAACGCAATTCATCCTGCTCCTCTGTCGTTAAAAGTCAGTGTAAAGTCATTTCAGATCCTACAACAATCCGGGGAAGACAGAGCTTATCAAGAGCACAGTTGTTTACAAAAAGTGTAAAATAAAATAAGGTACAGTATTTTGGAAATGCAACAAATGTGCGTTTGGACATATTAGTGTGAGGTCTGTGGTAGGGTTGCAACAACGAATCGATAAAATCGATAAAAATCGATAAAAATCGATAAAAATCGATAAAAATCGATGATTAAAAGCATTGGCAAGAATTTCGTTATCGATTCATTATGTTGTAATAATAATTGTAATTATAATAATTATAATAATAATAATAATAATTACACTCTTCCCTCAATGACACATTTTACAAAGTAGCTACATATTGTGCAGGTATAAAGATACATTTGTGTATATTTTTGTGTACATTTATTTTTTTAAGCTATTTGACTAACTTTTATTTTTTATTATTCAATATTTTACTAATAGAATAGTCAAGTACCAAACTGTTTTTGTGTGAATTGCTATGTCAGTCAAATGTTCAGTTTTGGAATAAAGGGGTGGAAATTAAAACGTTGTGGGGTTTTTTGTCGATTCATCGATTAATCGAAAATAATAATCGGCCGATGAATCGATTATTGAAATAATCATTAGTTGCAGCCCTAATCGATAGCTTCACTTCTATACATCGGTTGACATAATATCCAGTTGATCTCTGACGTATCTATAAGTCATAGGCAACTACGCAGTTAATTTCTTCTCCTTTTCTTTATTGTTGTGCAAGATATTTCCATATATTGTACTGTTTGTGTATATTGTACTGCATATTGTATTCCATACGCTTGTACAAATACTTGCGAACTTGCCGGCTCTGTATGTCACATTAATACGAAACATTTTGGTTAAGCACCTACTCTCAGAGGAAATATATGCCTATGTACGGGTTTGTTGTATTTGTGTTTTATTATGGTGTATGGTTCGCGGACACCACTGTTGCTTTTTAAGTTGGGCTTCATAGTTCAGCTACTCCCCTTATTAGTGGATTAGCATAAGCCCCAATTTATTAGTCTGAGTAAGGGAGGGGGGAATTTAAGTGTTGTGTCATTTTCAGGGTTTTCTTTTCTCATTTAGTTACTCATTTTATTTTATTCAAACCTTTGTGCATTTTATGTTAACTCAGCATCATGTATTGTCATATTGGTATTTCAGAAAAAAAGCAAAGTATGGAACAAGTTAATACTCATAATATTTCTTACATAAAAATTACAAGCTGGAATGTGAGGGGACTTAGGAAACGAATAAAACTAAAACAGGTTATAGACAGGATTAAACAGCTTAAATCGAAGATAATTCTTCTTCAAGAAACTCATTTAACAGATTGTGAAATAAAGTTTGTAAAAAATAGATGGCCGGGCCAGGTGATACATGCGCCATATAATAACTATGCAAGAGGCGTAATTATTTTGATCCACAAAAGCATACCAGTCCAAATCCTAAAAACAATAAAAGATTCAGCCGGTAGGTACTGTATGTTATTGTTCAGGGTAACATTTTCTCAATTACTTTAAATTTAGTGAGTTTATATGGCCCAAATGAAAATAAGCCGAAATTCTTTGAAGATTTGTTTCTTACTATATCTACTCTTAAAGGATTTTATGTAATTGGAGGAGATTTTAATTGCAACTTAAACCCAAATATAGATCGATCAACAGGTTCAGATGTTTATAAAGCTCAAACTAGAAAATTGATAAATCAATATATATTAGATATCAACTTGGTGGAAGTGTGGAGAGAACAAAATCCTGATAAAATAGAATTCTCTTGTCACTCGAGTATGTATCAATCCCGCTCACGTATCGATTATTTTCTTGTTTCAAGAGAACTTTTATCAATGCCAGTATGACAGCATAGTGATCAGTGATCATGTACCCATCTCACTGAATATTTACGTAGAAAACTTTGTCCATAACCCACCCTGTTGGCGGTTTCAAGCAAGATGGCTACAAGATCAAAAATGTGTCAAATTGGTAGGGGAGAAGATAGACACATACTTTGAATTTAACACAGGTCAGACTTGCGCCTCAGTGAGATGGGAAGGATTCAAAGCATATATTCGAGGTGAAATTCTTAGTTATACAAGTACAAAGAACAAGCAACAAAAGAAACAAATGGAAATCTTGGATAAACAAATTACATTTTTGGAACTAGACTTAAATAATAATGATGACCAAATAAAGCAGAGTGAATTGTTACGTTTGAGAACTGAATATAATAAATTATAAATATATAATAAATAGGCAGCAGCAAAAAGTTTAATGTGGTTAAAGCAATCGTATTATGACCAAGGAGAGAGGGCTGGGAAACTCTTGGCATGGAGAATTAAGAAAATACAAAGTGAAAGAGCAGTTAACAAGATAAAGACCTCCTCTGGCAGGGTAACAGTAGATCCATCTGAAATTAACAATAGTTTTAGGCAATTCTATGTTAAACTATATAAATCAGAGTGTAGC